TTTTTGAAATACCAATCGAACCGAATACCTTTCGATTAAATCTCTGCATTGATTTTTGTATTTTTGCATTTGCCTTTCACTTTTTTTCTGTTGTGTGTGTGAGTTTTTTTTTTTGTTATTTTATGTAAATAAAATGTATTTTCCGTATATTCCGGTTTAAGGCCAAGGTCATTGCTTTCAATTTTCATGTTAATGTCACTCTTTTTACAATGTATGTGTATAACTTGTTGGTGGTAATTATCAGTTGCTGAGAGCAAGATATTGCGGAAATACATTTAAAGGCAAATTCAAATATATTTTATTTTCTCCAAAAATCATAATTATATTTCTTTTTTCATGTAATTTCTTTCAACGTTTCCCACTTTACCCTTTTATTTTACTGATTATTCGATTTATTTATTATTCAACTCAATTGTATTGTTTTTTAATTGAAAATATTTGAAAATTCTAGAAACATTGTTGTATAAAAATTTTCCAGTTGATTTCCGATTTGATATGTTTGACATCAATCCGTACTATTAATTGCAATTATTTTTTATTGCGATAGTGGGAGCGATTATTTACTGATAATACAAAGTAACAAGTAATTTAAATATGGCGGTATTTTACTATTTTTTTTTTCTACCTTTGTTATGTCAATTAAAAAAACAAAAAAAAGCAATTGGTGAAGAATTTCTTAGGCACCGGAATACAAATTTTCAAAACTCAAATCGAGTAATACGAAAAATATGAAACATTTTGTGACATATCGAATGATAATTATTCCTCGAACCATTTCTAGGTTTGGAAACTAATTTTTTAATTCAAATTTTATGTAGGGCGTGAAATTAACTATCAGGTTTAGAGGTCTTGCCTCCATTTTCCATACATTGTCAACTTGTTCAAAATCTGCCGAAATCAATATTGGTCGATGGTCGATAACATATGTTTGTATGTATTTCTTATATAAAGGTCCCCACTTATAACAAATCTCAGGTTAATTGTTTTTTTTTTTTGCCATTGGAAATGCCAGACTTTCGATGTTCAAAGCCACTGCATTTAAAAATCTTAAATAAATATTTAGTAACATTGATCCTTTTGTATGGGTCAAACACATAATTTCCAAATATTTGATTATTATTTTCTTAACTTTCCGATGATCCGATGATGGGTATCTGCTGTTTTATGACGAAATACCTGCTATGACTAGAAAAAAAACAACAAAACATAACAAAAACAAACGATGAACTCTCTCACTCCCTCTATCGTGATAAGAACATGTGACCAAGCGTAGAAAACAAAAATCACCATCATCATAATGAAATTAAAAGTGTCTCGTCCGTCCAGCACACAAGTCTGGCAAGAACTTATCAGCTATGCAAAAAAATCAATAAAAAAAAAAACCGGCAAATCCAATTCAATTACACATAACGAAAAAACAAAACAAACTAGGCTTGCCTGGTTCACATACATATATCTGTCGTCTTATAACAATACTTGTATATTCAGTTAGAAATTCTTTTACTGCTATGCCTATTCATTGTCGCTCGACTCGCTTATCAAATAGTCAGCCCATTACTTTCTGTTATCTTTGAAGAAGAAAAATGTAGTTTGGTGCGGTTTTTTATTCTCCCTCTACTCTTTGCCAATTTTGAACTTCAACACAATCTTGTGATTATAAATTAGCACTTATATGTGTGCCGATCAACTCGTAGATATGTTGGCGATATTTTTACCTAGTTTTAATCTTTTTTGTGTGGAATTTCGAATATTCAAGAGTGTGTGGTATTAGCATTTCTTATATCTTCGTCTAGGTATATTGACGTCATTTCTTTTCCATGGAATTCACCCGTTTGCTGCTATATAACTTGTTTTTATTATAATTTTTTTTTTAATTTTTGTTGTTATTGTTTGATATCATAACTGTGTTCATTTTAATGATTCATGCAAAATAATATTTGTCTGGTACGTCGTCGTCACCGAATGAGGGCTTTGGAATTATTAATTTATCTTTTTTATAATTTACAAAGTTCATTTGCATTTGGATGCGTGATTTTGAACTCGTAATACAATATTTGAAATATTGTATAACAACATCTTATTAATTTTAGCAGTCTTTCGTTTAAGGGAACATACAAATTTAAAAACAAATTCAATTATTTCGAAATATTAAAATTGATAGTATTGATAGTATATATAAAAAAATTGTCGTATTTATACCCTACACAACTATGTTTAAGGGGATTATACCTTGGTGTGGCCCAAGAGATTGTAACGCCGAAAATACTAATCATCAGGTCTCGACTGTCTGCCAAAGCCAAACTTATGGACCAATTGTCACGAAATTGTACATGTAGGACCGATTCCAAAGTAGATTCCTATCGATGGTAATGATCCGTTAATAATTAAAAAAAAATTATCTGTTTTTCTTGTCACTTTAGAGGCTACAATAATGACCCGAATAGCATGAAATTTTACATTGGAAAGGGGATTTAGACATAGAATAAGGATGACTGTTTTAATGAAGATCGGTCAATATTTAGGGGACCAAATGAAGGATGGCTTTGGGTGTAAAATAAAAAAGCTGAATCCTATTAAGTGAATATTCCTGCTCCTGGATAACATAATTCGGAAAAGATGCTTGGGTGAGAATGTTTAGCTTTTGGCCTCTAATCGGTCAACATGGTGCAAATATTACGAAATATTGTCCAAGCTCAGAATGTAGATCCGCCGAAAATTTAAGCATCCCCTCTAGTCGAAAACCTTTGGTTCATTGCTTTCATCTTCTATATTTAAGAAATTTGAATATGATGCTCAAATAGGGTATGTAAAAGGAAACCAGTAAGGAAAGTAGTAAAGTCGGACGGGGCCGACTATATGATACCCTTCACCACTTTGAGAATATTCAACAGTTGAATCCTAACAGACGTCGCATTTTTAAAGGACCAGTAAAATGAAATTGGAACCATAAACACGTCATTCTGCAACCGATACTATCTAGACCTAATTCATTACGCTGTGCCAAATTGCGTGCAACTGAATGATATTAAGGGACTTTGGTGCACCATTTACATTAAATCGGACGAAAATATATATGGGAGCTATATCTAAATCCGAACCGATTTTCAGGAAACTTAACACACATCATTCTAGACCTAATTCATTACGCTGAGCCAAATTTAGTGCAAATCGAGAGATATATAATAAGAACACAAAGTACCAAATTTCAGCGAATTCGGTCGAAAAATGCGATCAAAGCCCCCAAAATACCGAAAATTGGGGATAATCTTATATGGAAACAATGGACCTTTATTTACAATTTTTGGTAGGGAGATTTGCTACCCAATAAGAACTCAAAATACCAAATTTCGCGCTCAAGAACCTCAAAATACCGAAAATTTAGGGGTACCCTTATATGGGGGCTATCCGAAAAAATGGACCTTTATTTATAATTTTTGGTTGGAAGATTTGCTACCCAATAAGAACTCAAAGTACCAAATTTCAGCAAATTCAGTTAAAAAACGCCCTCAAGAACCTCAGAATACCGAAAATTTGGGGGTACCCTTTTATGGGAGCTATGTCTAAACGTGGACCGATTTTCTCCAATTTCAATAGGGTTCGTCCTTGGCCAATTAAGTGACCTGTGCCAAATTTCATCCAAATCGGATCATAAATGCGACCTGTACTTTGTTAACAAAAATACATGGACGGACAGACGGACGGACATGCATAGATCGACTCAGAAAGTGATTCTATGCATATTCTCAAAAGGAACCATGGATCTATCTCGATTATTTTTGCCTGTTACAAACATATGCACAAAGACATAATACCCTCTCCCACAGTGTGGTGAAGGGTATAAAAAATCAGAAAAGAAAAACACATGTTTACCTAACAGTCTATATCTGCAAAGTTGTGTTGTTCGTTGATTTTCTGCCAAATTAATAGCATTGAACCTTAGACCAACAACTGAAATAAATCCATATGGAAATATTACAACCTCAACATTAATTACTTGAGCTATATAACAAATTAATGCATTAGTGCTAATTAATTCGTTTCAAACCATTTTTTTCTTTTAAATTTAAAATACCCTGCATGACTGCAGTCTGGCGGTATTATGAAACAAATACAAATTGTTTGTTGCAATTAAAGCTAGCTGTGTTTTTTACTTAATGAAATCTATTAACCTTGTGTATTATTCACGTGATACTGACGTTATAGCGTTTTTCAACATTTAGCGTATATTATATCAGGTGTAGATAAATTCGGTAGCGGTTTGACGCACACATCCAGAAAAATAAGTAATATACTCACCGAGAGAGCAAACCAAATATGCTTTCGGAAATATAAATACAAAAATAAAAATAAGTAAACAATTACAAAACAATGTTTGCACATTTTTGATCATTGGTTGCCATTTTTTTTTATTTAATGAAGTTATTAAATAATCGCCAACAAGCTTGTCTGCACAGGTTCGATATTATAAAACAAAAAATATTTATTTTATATATTAAATAGTGTCTTCATATCAAGATCGGAATAAAGTACTCTCTTCTGCAAGTTTTTTTAATGTGATGAGAACTTTCCACCACATCCACACGTCACTGAAACAATTACAATTTATAAAATAATGATCAGATAAATAAATGGAAAATACAATCAATTTATTTTTTCTAACATTAAAGTTATTATCTATTGCATAATCAAAAACAAAGCGTGTGTTTAAATATTTTAAACACACAATTATCTAACAAAAACAACAAAGTTGACAACCTGTCATATTGAGGTGAAAATTGCTGTGTGGTGTGCAACTAAATAATTTAGATAATTCCCCATCGACTTTGCAAATGACAACAAAAAACGCAACTTACCCAAACAAATATAACTTTTACTGCTACCAATTATCAATTACTATAAAGCGTGTGCTAACAAAAACAACAAATATCAATGTACTAATAATTTGCAACTTACCCAAACAAATATAACTTTTACTGCTACCAATTATCAATTACTATAATTTGGTTTTTTCTTTCTTTTTTGTTTTTGTTCTATTACAGCTAAAAATTCGAAGCCACAATGCATAGAGCCAATACAGCCTTTAATTTGGCTTTATCGCCAATTGCGCATAAAAACTTTGCCACATGGCTGTTGAAGGGCAGCAATAAGAAGGTAAGTTGTAACATTCAATTTTTTCAAATATTATTTTTTTTTAAAATGATTTTTTTTTTTGTTTTTTAGATTGTCCATAATGCTATGGCCGCTGCTGCGTTACGTTGTTATAATTCTGCTGCAGCCGAACCATTCGCTAATGGTACAACAGCATCCTATGTTGAAGAAATGTACAATGCCTGGCTTCGAGATCCCAGCTCTGTACACACTGTGAGTATTATAAACATTGAAATATTTTAGGAGGGGAAAATACGAAAATAATCCATAGTACGAAGAAAATATAGGGATTTCATATTTTTATATCCTTTAAGCAATCAATGTTTTCTCCTAAACGTATGGAGAATTTGTATTAGACAAATTACACACAAAAGACTTTTAAGCAAACGCACAGGGCTTGTTCAGTAACACAGGCCAAATAAAAGTCTCCAATGTGACATAATAATGGCTTTTTCTTAGCCCCTAACTTCAAATGACTCCTAACCGAAATTTGTATCTGAATTAAAGCAATTTTTGTCATATAAAAATTTGATAATTATTGGGTATGAGGAATCTCTATTCAAATCGGGTTCAGAGTGAGCTCACTTTCGGCCAAAAAAAAAAAAAAAAAATCAGTCATAGTAATTCACTAAAGGTATTTGACAATAGGTGAAACATGGTTCTATAATTTCACTACGAAGTGAAAAGGGGTCTTTTGGTCCCCTTTTCCAGAAGTGATTGAAAACTCATTCAAAACGGTGTTAAAGGTGCTCAGAATATTCTACAGAAATGTCCGCTATAACGTTTTACTATAAGTCTCAGAATAGACTAAAACTCAAAAATCTTAAAAAAAACAAAAAATAATTTTAGGGTTAAAATCGTACTTATTACTAGTTTTTACCCATTTTCCCACAAGATCTCGTTTTAGGTGGATGGTATAAGGAACAGAAATATTCTCCATCAATTTTAGCATAAGTCACTGAACAAGAGAAATTTGTATATATAATGTATATACCGAATATATAGTCATACATTTTAACCCAAAAATTCAAAATGTTCTTTCATTTTTTTCAAAGACATTTCTTAGTACTTTTTTCGACTAAGCGCATTAAAGTGACATGAAACTTAGTTTTAGGTATATTATGTTAAAGAATAAAATATTCTACGCCAAATTCCACTGCAAGTCCCAAAACAAACTATATATTTATATTCAATAGTTTTTAAGAAATTTACAGTATAAAATTATCTATAATAACAACAATTTTGTTGTTGACACCAATTGTCATATTAGTGTAGGAAAAATAGACTATAAATATTGTAATGTTTCTCCCATAATTTTGGACCGAACAAACTTCAAATTTTTTTTAATTTTTATATTTAACTAACTTCGAACTTCGCCTCATTCCAATTAAAAGCATATGCATAAATTTAGAATACTAATAATTAATATTTCTGTTTTATTTATTTCTAGTCATGGGATGCCTATTTCCGTAACAACAGCTACTGTGGACCCCCAAATCTCGCCCCACAACAATATAATACATTGCCCGCTACCGCTTTTGCTGGTATGGCCGGTGTAGGTGCTGCTCCAGACTCAAAGACCATTGACGATCATTTGGCTGTTCAAGCCATTATCAGAAGTTATCAGGTATGTTGGTTGGTTCATATTGCAATTTGTTGACGTTTGATGCTGTCCCCGTAGTTTTGTTTTCATTATTTTATTTTTTTCTTTGGTATTTGTTTGATTACTATACTATTATTTATTTATGATGGGGTATATTTGTTTGGTTAAACGTTTTTAAATGAACTATTTTATTTTCATATTTTGATTTATTTTTATAATTTCTATTAGTATATTTTCATAATAATTTTTTTGTTACTTTTTATAAATTTTGCATTAGATTTAGGTATTGTTAAGGTCTATAAGGCACAAATTTTAAAGGTGTTTATTGAAACTCCAGTATGTTGTTTAATATGAAAAACAGTGTATTTTCCATCTAGATACATATTTATACATTTCAAAGGTGTTTATTGAAATTAAAGTATATTACTTAATCTAAAAAATAGTATATAATTTTATCTATATAAAAAAATACTCAAATATTTCTTTTTAAAACGAATAAATAATTATAAAATCATCCGCTAATGTCAACTTCAAAGAATAAGAATAAATTTCCAATTTTTTTAACTTCTAATGAAGCATTTTTTGAATTATCATTTATAATGAATTATTTTATTATTGTAGTTTCAATACACACCAAAAAATTCTTTATAGCATTCTGATAGTAATTAATATTCCTTAAGCCATAAATGACCGCTAATTTTTTTCTGACAGTTTGTGAAATTTTACATTGGGGGATTTCTGAAATAATTATACAATTTATAAGGGAAAAATCATTTGATTGCAATCGAAAGCATGTAGTGTTTGTTTTTGTATCCTATCCAAAAGTGTATACTTCATTATGTAATAACAGCAAAATTTTCAAAATTTGTTTCTACCTAATTAACAACAAGTTTATAAAAAAATTGGAAATTGGCTTAAATGAAATAATAATTTTAAAGTATGTATCCTCATAAGAGTAACTAATATTGTAAAAATCAAAATAAATCTTGTTCTTCTATTGTAGTGTTAAGTATATAAATAACTGTTTTATATTAGCTCTCTCTAAATATTCACCAATGTCGTTGAATATTATATCCTTCCTCTCTGTTTATCTCTTACACACATCCTGCCCCCAAAATCCCACCTTCCGTTGACTTGCCACTTCTTGTTGTTTTTTCATCACATATATAATTCATCACAAATTCCTTCATTCATATACAAACTCATTCACTCACTCATTCATATTCATTCGTATATATATACCAATTAGGCACGCGGTCATTTGGCTTCGGAATTGGATCCCTTGGGAATTTTAACAGTTGAAAAGATCCAGGCGAAAGGTGGTCTTAAACGTCGTGCAAATGAAGATGTTTTGCGCCAGCATTCTGAATTTTTGTTTGGTAATTTTCAATTTTATCATCTATCTTTTTTGTCTAATTCTCTCTATATATAAACTTTTTCTTAATATAATGTAGAATATTTATAACACTATGTAACATTAATCATTTGTTAAAACTATTTTGAAAATTCAACGATATTTGAATATGAAAATACTTTTATTTGATATATTTCTTCTCCGGTTATCACTGATTGAGGCGACCTACTTCGTTTCGAAAGAGAGTTCTAATTTTACTCAATTCAATTTACCCCAAAAATATTGTTTTAGGCCCAAGATGGTCCAAATTTACCACCTATCAGCTCAAGAACATTATCGGTCTATATCATCAATTTAGACCCAAGTTGGTCAACAAAATAAACAAGTACAATGTTTATCACCTAGAGCTTTAGCATGGAGTGAGAGTTTCCCCCACTACTGTTTGCCTTTTGTTAATATTGTTTCTTACGAAATTATACAAAAATGAACTAAGTTTGCTCTTGAATTTCGGCTTCATTGAATAATTTCTTCAAACACGAAATGTGTATTTTTAAGTAATAAACAGAGAAAATCATGGATAACTACCTAGAGAGAAAATATATTTAAATAAGTCTATTAATCTAAGTTTAAATGTTCATATGTTTAAAATAATATTGTTACACTGTGTTATAAATATCACTTTCCACAAGGTATTAATACAAAAAAATAATACCTTTTAACAAAAAAAAAGACTAAAATATGAAATTCGGAGTTATCAACATAAAGGATTATTACCACAAAATATTTTCGTGTAAACAAAACTTCTGTTTATTTAGCAGGCTTTTATCAACCATATTTAGTTATATATGTTACTACCACTCGTAATTGTTCCATTAATTTGTTTCTTATATCCAATCAAAATAAGAAATATAAAAACGTAACACAATGCGTACAGATTTTAGTATTTAAGGCCAGTTTACTAGATTCGTTATTGTTGTTGTTTTTAATATTATAAAATATTATTCGTATTATTGTTCTATAATCCCTTAACACAACGTAAATAATATTCTTGTATTCATTAATTAATATTATTATTATTTTGTAGTTAGATTTTTATTTTTTTTTAATTTTTGGGTTTTTTATGATTTTTATTACTATTTTATTTATTTTTGTGTATGTGTGTTTGTGTTTCTTTTTTAACCCCCTTCATTTTAGAAAATACATTTTTGTTTCTATGTTTTCATTTGAATTTCCTCATTTGTTTGTGTTTTGTTGTCTCGCCATGAAAACGGTCATCATCAAATTACTATTTTTTTTTATAAAATTTAACCCAACTTAAAACAAAAAACAAAATGCTTATACAAAATTTATTTTCTTTTCTCTTTTTTGGTTTATTTTTATGGCTTCTAATTCGATTACTCTACTTCTACTTGTCTCTGCCCACCCACCACTAAATTGATGTTAACTTCACCGGCAAATTTTCAACTATACAAATTTCAAATTTCTTTCACAAACAAACTCAATTTTGATTTTCTTGATAATTTTCTGAAAACCAAAAATCATAAACGTTGTTGTATGCACACCAATCAAAAATCTATTGCGTTATTGTTGTTGTTGTCGTTGAAATAATTTATTTAGATTCGAGGCCATAACATTGCCCATCTTGATCCCCTCGAAATTAATTCCGCCGAATTACCTGGCAACTCTTCGACAAAAGCTATTTATGCTAATTTCAGTTTTGGTAAGTAAGTTTAATTTTGGATAGAATTCTTTTTTCTTTGCTATCCCTGCATCTTCTACAAAGTATATCCTTATAATGTTGTTGTCTTGAATGAATTTGAACCTTTGAGTTGATAAAAACAAATATCCACATGCACTTTATTCTCCAACCACCCTTTTTTAGTAATATTTGATATGTATGATTTTTATTTTATTTTAAAATATTAAAAGAAACAAATAAGATATATATATTTTTTTTTTTGTATTTTATTCATATTTCAGTTTGTAGTTATGTGTTTGGATTATAAATGACAAATGTGATTTTGTATGGGAATTTCGTCCAGATGTTATTCCATTTGTCATTTATGTTCATTTTACAACCATGTAGTTTGATTTTGTTACGTTTTGTTACAACTACCCCTCCCTATGTTTTATCCTTCCAGTCTAGTAGAATGAAAATGTCGTTCTGTATCCAATGCCAAAGTGTAAAGGAACATGTAAATATATCCTTAAATCTTTATGATTTACGTCCAATGAACGTTTCATTTTATCCATAGTGTCCAGTGTTGTTTCTTTTACAATTGTTTATTTTTTTATGTTGGTTTTATTACATTTTTTTTTTAATTTTTGTCAGCATTTTTCTTATTGTCCAATTAATATTTTTTAGTTTTGTTTTCTAATTTTTAATTTCAGTATTTTTATTTTTTAGCAACAAAACTTGTCTATATTTTAAAATAGTTTACAAAAGTATTAATTAATTATGAACAAAATTAAAATTACATTTAAAACATGGACAAGCTTTGCAAAATTAGAAAAATCATTATTATTTAACTATAATACTTCAACTAAAAAAATCACACTCAAAATAATTGGCTAGCTTTTTTATGAAAACCCAAAATAAATGTTTTAGAAATAGTTATTTAATTTGTTATACACCAAACTGCATGTGTCTACACAACACTTTTACTACACACAAATTTTCAACAACACGCAGGCTGCACACAAAGGCATGCTTTAAATATAAAAATATATACACACTCTCAAACAATTAAAAAATCCTTCCAAATTGTATTGCAAAACATCCATGTCCTCCGAATTTCAAAAAAAAAATCAAAAAAAGAAAATAACAAATATATTTATAATAACTAACAAAAATAATCAATAACAAAATATAATTTTAAATCAAATACTAAAATATAATTTTCTTTTTTCCAAACCACCACCACCTATCTGTACATGCAGGTGAACAAGATATGGAACGTCAATTTAAATTGCCCAGCACCACTTTCATTGGTGGCGATGAGAAACAATTGCCCTTGAGGTAAGTTTTTTTATTAACTGTGATTATCAATAATGTTGTATTAATTGTTTTTGTTTCCCTCAAAATATTTCCTCTAGAGAAATCTTGAACCGTTTGGAAAATGTTTATTGCAATAAGATTGGTGTTGAATTCATGTTCATCAACTCTTTGGAACAGTGCAACTGGATTCGCAAACAATTTGAAACACCCGGTGTTATGAATTTCTCTCCCGAAAAGAAACGCTTGATTTTGGCTCGTTTGACTCGTGCTACTGGGTAAGAATCAAAATTTTTAAATAAAATCAATTACGAAACATGTTCCTAGAAACTATGTTATGCATAAAGAATTTAAATTATAGAAAATAAATTATTTTCATAGTTGAAAAAATCCTTGGAACATTCGTAATTGCTCTATTTCTCGAATGCAAACTCCAATCTATACTAATCCTTCTAACATTTCTTCTTACATTGCTCAGCTTTGAAGGTTTCTTGGCCAAGAAATACTCATCGGAGAAACGTTTCGGTTTGGAAGGTTGTGAAATGTTGATCCCCGCCTTAAAAGAATTGATTGATGCCTCCACTGAATTGGGTGTTGAGTCCGTTATTATGGGTATGCCACATCGTGGCCGTTTGAACACATTGGCCAATGTCTGCCGTAAACCATTGAATCAAATCTTCACACAGTTTGCTGGTTTGGAAGCCGCTGATGACGGTTCCGGTGATGTCAAATACCATTTGGGTACATACATTGAACGTTTGAACCGTGTCACAAACAAGAACATCCGTTTGGCTGTCGTTGCCAATCCATCTCACTTGGAGGCCGTCGATCCCGTTGTACAGGGCAAGACACGTGCCGAACAATTCTATCGTGGCGATCAAGAAGGCAAAAAGGTCATGTCTATTTTGATCCACGGTGATGCTGCTTTCTGCGGTCAAGGTGTTGTCTATGAAACCATGCATTTGTCCGATTTGCCCGACTACACCACCCACGGTACCATCCATGTTGTGGCCAACAATCAAATCGGTTTCACCACCGATCCTCGTTTCTCACGTTCATCGCCCTACTGTACCGATGTTGCTCGTGTTGTCAACGCTCCTATTTTCCATGTCAATGCTGACGATCCCGAAGCTGTTGTCCATGTTTGCCGTGTTGCCGCCGAATGGCGTAACACCTTCCACAAGGATGTTGTTATCGATTTGGTTGGCTATCGTCGCAATGGTCACAACGAAATTGATGAACCCATGTTCACTCAACCCCTGATGTACCAAAAGATCCGCAAACACAAGAACTGCTTGGAACTCTACGCTGATAAACTTATTGCTGAGGGTACATGCACTTCGGAAGAAGTTAAATCCGTTGCCGACAAATACGAAAAGATTTGCGAAGAAGCCTTTGAATTGGCCAAGACCGAAACCCACATTAAATACAAGGATTGGTTGGATTCCCCATGGTCTGGTTTCTTCGAAGGCAAGGACCCCTTGAAGGTATCACCCACCGGTGTCAAGGAAGAGACCTTGGTCCATATTGGCCAAAGATTCTCATCCCCACCACCAAATGCTGCTGAATTTGTTGTCCACAAGTGGGTACCATAGAAAGTCATGCATTTGTTTCTCAGAATTATATTTTTCTAATTTTTGCAGAGGTCTCATTCGTGTCTTGAATGCTCGTAAAGCCATGGTTGAGGAACGTGTTGCCGATTGGGCTCTTGGTGAAGCCATGGCTTTCGGTTCTTTGTTGAAGGAAGGCATTCATGTCCGTCTCTCGGGTCAAGATGTTGAGCGTGGTACCTTCTCTCACCGTCACCACGTTTTGCACCATCAATTGGTTGACAAGGCCACCTACAATCCATTGCAACACTTGTACCCCGACCAGGCTCCCTACTCTGTGTCGAACAGTTCCTTGTCTGAATATGCCGTACTTGGCTTTGAACACGGCTACTCCATGACCAACCCCAACGCTTTGGTCTTGTGGGAAGCTCAATTCGGTGATTTCTCCAACACCGCCCAATGTATTATCGATCAATTCATTTCCAGCGGTCAAGCCAAATGGGTACGTCAATCCGGTTTGGTTATGTTGTTGCCTCATGGTATGGAAGGTATGGGTCCTGAACATTCGTCATGCCGTGTTGAACGTTTCCTTCAAATGTCTTCGGATGATCCCGATTACTTCCCACCCGAATCTGAGGAGTTCGCCATTAGACAATTGCACGATATTAACTGGATTGTTGCCAACTGCACAACACCCGCTAACTTGTTCCACATTTTGCGTCGTCAAATCGCCATGCCTTTCCGTAAACCATTGATCTTGTTGACACCCAAATCATTGTTGCGTCACCCAGAAGCCAAATCGCCATTCAGTGAAATGACTGAGGGTAGCGAATTCCAACGTATTATCCCCGATAAGATTACCGCTGAAAATCCCAGCGCTGTTAAGAGAGTAGTATTCTGCTCTGGCCGTGTCTACTATGATTTGACCAAGGACCGCAAGGATAAGGGTTTGGAGAAGGAAATCGCTATTGTTCGTGTTGAACAGGTATGTTGAGTTTATAAAAAATGTTTAATGTATATAGAATATAGGTATATAATATGTATTTTGTTTTAGATTTCTCCCTTCCCCTTCGATTTGGTCAAGGAACAAGCCAATCTCTACAAGGATGCTGAATTAGTCTGGGCCCAAGAAGAACACAAAAATCAAGGTTGCTGGACCTATGTCCAACCCCGATTCTTGACCGCCCTCAACCACAGCAAAGATATTACGTAAGTCATTTTAGTTTATTTTTTCATCGGTTATATTTTGGGCGTTTTTCTTATTTTTCTTAACTTTTTTTGAAGAGAAACTAATGCTTTAACCTTTTGTGTTGCTTTCACTTGACTTTCTTTTAACGAAATGGTTGTCAGATTCTTTTTTTAACCCATTTATTGTATATAATTTAATTTTCAAGCTGTTTAATTTTTTTAGTAATTTCTCTTCTTTACTTTGCAAGAAAAGTACATCCTCATTAGGGTTTCTTCTCTTATATTGTTTTCGAATTCAAAACCACTCACACACCAGTTGTTGTCTCTATTGTAGATTTATTTACGTTTTTTTATAATTCCAAGCACCATTGGTTTTTCTACAAAGCTTTCTATGTATTTGGGCACTATATTGAAATGCACATATCAGATTTTTTTGTATTTAAAAAATAATTATTTTAAACATATAATCAAAAGCACTGAGATAGATATGTGGTAAATAGTGTTGAATATTATTGGCAAATCGGGTTTGCGTTCCGAGAAAAAGTTCGAGTTCACGATTTACCTCAACGACCACCAGGCTGATCAATTTATTTTTATTGGGTTGTGTTTTAATTTAATTATAAGATTAAAGAATACAAGTATAATACGACATTCACTTGTTGTAAATTTGGATTCGAACGACTAGTGTGGATCTGGGAGATATTGACAAGGCAGAACTTTTGATTCTCACTATGGTATATTTATACTTTTAAGTACTGACCTATAATTGAATCGTATTCTTCGAGCCATTTCAATTCAAACTTATATTTTCAGCCATATTGGTAAACAATAATTAAGAAATAAATGTTGACCAGATATAAAGTAAACTTCATAAAACAAAACCAACAACTCTATACTTATTATCATTGAGCATGGCTTTTCCTACATATACTTTGTTGGTATCAAAATTATAATTCTAAATGTAAATCAGCTGTAACAAATTCACCCTGACTTATTGCTTTTTGTTTGTGTCCAAGTGTTATTTTTGTATAATTTAAATAATTTCAGCCAGCCAACAACGAACACACACAGAATTGTTAAATAATGTAAATTAAGTGTGCCACAAACCAGAACGCGACACAAATAGTGTAGCGTGTGTAGCCAAGCAACCCAATGGCATTAATGTATAATATTTTTTTGTTTTCTATTGTTGTTAGAATTCCAAATTCCACAATTTGATTTTTTATATGTTTTTATTTGTGCGAGTATGTTATTTGTTTGTTACCGTTGTTGTTGTTGTTAATTGATTGCAGCCCCAGTGATGCTACATCCTCTACCACCTCCACTACTACTACCACTGCTAACGATTCAGATTCTGATTCGGATTCTGAAACAAAATCGAAACCTTGGCTTAAACGTATATTTTCATCTTCGTCCGATAACCAATCTGTTGAAACAAAGCCGGCTAGTAGTAATGAATACAATGCCGCCAAACATTTCGATTTGAAAAATGTACGCCAAGATTTTAATAGACCCATTGGCAATGGTGCGGCACCTGGTGTGCGTGTTACTAAAACTGGACGCAAAATTAGGTGAGGGTTTTCATAGAAGATATGAAACGTCTTTTAATTTAATGCTATAAATATTATTTCTTTTACTTCAATGATAGTTGAATATTCATATGTATTTATTTATTCTTATTTTAATGGAATTAGGCAAGAAAAAAATAAGTTTTGGAAAATTACACTATGTAACAAAATTATATTTTACTTTATTTATTCAAAATTATATGGCTTAAAAGTTTAGCAGGGTTTTAAGAAAAAAAATTTCAATATAATATCCAAAGGGTATTTTCATAAAAATATTCATTAGTTATTCTATTACAAAAAATAATTATTAGTCTATAAATGTATATTGTTAGTACTATAAATCCTACACTAATATTCCTGAGGTAATTTGTTTTGCTACTTGCCCGTTTTTTTTAACAAGAAGGGATTATTGTTGATTATACGTTTTATAACGAGTATCAACTTAATAAATTGTATTGCTGTCGAATTCAGCTTTGAATAGAAATCCTAATCATATTTGTATCATCATTATCATATTGTAAACAAAATATACGTTATTTAGCTAATTTTGTTACATAGTGAAATTTTTTAGTACTTGAAACACTTAATTATTGCATCATTGGCACAATTTTTAAGCAACTAACTTTCTATATTAATTTTCTAAATTTATCTATCGTGGATATTTTTTGTTTATTAACAATATTATTTTCTTTTAAAATAATTTGCTGTCTCATAATTATTCTTAATAGGTTAGGGTCGTCTATGCTTTCCAACTGATATACACTATTCGAAATGTCTAATATGTCTGTGATTTATTTGTTCAAACAAAAACATAAACAAATTTTTCATTGAATAAAAAAATTGGCCTTTTCACAAATCACAGATATATAAATCCCTTTAAAAGCTATATTTCTATACTATTGCATGTTGTCTTTTGTTTCTAGTCTTTTTACTTGTTTCATATTCTACTTACCTTTCGCACTCTGTGTAATGCGTTTTTCACTAGACGTAATTATATCAATTTGTATTCATCTCATCATTCATTCATTATGATTAAGAGTGTTGGGATTGTTTTTTTCTTATGAAATGTAACAAAACTATTTTCTTTTGTATGAGAACCATGAACCAGAACCATCTAAAACCGGTCGGATCATTATGTATATCACAATTTTATAAATTTAAAAGTTAAACCTTAGGAAACTACGAGTTATGACGGGATCTTTTCCGGAGAAAAGGTATAAATAAACAAACAGTAAATGTCTTTTGATACGAAGCATTTGACTTGTACGGAGTTGATCTTTTCTAAATTTTATTAATCCTCAAATAAACGGCAATAGTCCGCTACCATTTTGTGGTGAGAGATATAATTTTACAGTAAGTTTAAGCCCATTGGTCTCTAGTGCTGTTATAGCCAATATGTGGTCTAACAGACTCCTATATCTGAAGATCCGTCGACTTTTTATAACAAATCGCCTTCATATAAAATATTATTCACAATATTTTTTAAATTCAATATCTTTGAATAAATAAAGTTCTTTTTTATTTTTAATGCATGGTTATGGTTAAAATGCATTTCAACTAAATCACTTTCATTCATATTTCACATAATTAGTTAATTATTATTAGTAGTATTTAATTCTATAATGGAGACAAACAATTAGTAATTATAACAACAATTTCATATAACAATCCTCATCATTATAATTTGCTTGGTTGTAGTGAATGTTTTGCTTTATATAAATATATAAATGTTACGTTTCAAAAATACACTATTACAAGATTTAAATTTAAACATTATTTTCTTTTCCTCTTCCTACAGCTATGCTGGTCGTCCATGTGGTGCTTCAACTGCTACCGGTTCAAAGGCTCAACATATACGCGAATTGAATGCCTTGTTGAATGATGCCATTCGTGTTTAAGGCGGCAACAACTGCTCTACGTACGATTCTAGGCTTCAAACAGAATGTTTATATATTTTATAATCAATAACGTTTAAGAGATATTTTCAACATTTGCTTGTGACATTAAGGGGAAGCCAAATATCCTTTTTACGATAGAAACCAACTACAAACTCAGCAATGATATTTGTTTACTTAGAAAAAAACCGAAAGTGTAACGTATTCTATTTTTTCCTATATAGTTTCATCGACAACCCCTCTACCTTCTAAATTGACAACAAATGTTATAATTTATGTTGATAGCAACTCTTATAAACAAAAATATTAGATAATTTTCTGTGCATAATGTAATTGAGGGTAAGATGAATAGTCAAAACTTTTTTTGTTCAAAGTAAAAAAATCTCTCAACAAACTTTAGAAGTATGCAAAAAACAAAACGAATACAAAGAAATATTTTTAAAACTTAAAAAAAAAAAAACAGAAACAAACAATACACATTTTATTTTTAATTTTATTTATTTTAATTATAACAAGATAACAACCAACAAAACCAATAAAAAGGTAAAAAATCCTTTGAAAATTTACAATATTTTGTTCTCATTATTATTATTCTTTTTTGTTTGTTTGTTCAATTGTTAAATATACATACAAAGATGCACATGATATGTGGCAAACATATTTTGGATGCGCGTGCTGTGTTGAATACATACATAAATATTTACTTATCAGGGATTTATTAAATGTAATTTTTAATTCTGTCTTCATCAACATGTATTTTGACCACCCATCAAATCGTTAACAATTAACTCTCTATCTCTTGTCTATATATCTTTAATAAGTTTATAATTTTTGTTTCAAGTATTATTTAGTTTTTTTTTTGCTTTCATAGATATATATTTTTATTTTTTTTCTTTTCTTTTTTTTTTTGAAATAAAATGATTGTGCCTCTTGGTTTAAAAATCAAAAAAAAAAAAATAGTTTTATTTATTTTTTAGAATGCATACGTTATTTAATAATAAAATATATTCAAATTTCTTAAAACATGGAGGCTTACGGAAGAAATGAGATGGATTTGCATAATCTTCCCATAATGCAAGAAATTGAGTTTTTATAAAAATTTTGATAAATCGACTACAGTGGAAACACGATTTTACATGTTTAATACAATTCATTAACGAGAGAAGTGCGTTGCAACCTACTGGTATATGTTATATGGCCCATGTTAGAATCTATGTTGAAGTCCCTTTGAATCTGCTATATATTCGATTTTCAAGACAACACCAATTTGGCAAGGATACTGTATAAAGCCATGAGGGACGTGTGTCATGTTTTAACTAAATATGTTTAGATCTGGATACAGCTCCCATATAATGCTTTGTAAATGTTTCTGTAAAGTTCTCAGATCGTAGTTCACTTTTGGTAGTTATCGTGATATTTACTGGTACTAATTTTACATCCTCAATACAAACACTTCTTTCTGATTTGAAAGACATATTATTTAAATTATTTACTTAATTCTGTTTACAAAAAATAAAACTAATAAATTTGGAAAATAAAACGATTCTAATAGATCAGATATCCTATTGAAAAAATACATTTTATCAACAACAAATTATATCATTTATCAAATCATAAAAAAATAATGCAGGATTTTAAGAATAAAAAAAAAATCGATCACACAAAATACGGAAATTTTTAAAGAGTGATACATTAAGATATTATTTATCTATACATAAAAAAACTCTGGAACAAGACAGCAAACCAAAATAATTAACGGATGTTAACACAGGATAAAACTATATTTAATTTTTCCCTTTTTTATTGAAAATAATATTTTTACAAAGAGAATAAATATCGAAATAAATAATATATGAAATCAGAAAAAAAAACATTTTCATGTTGAACCCATTTCAACAAACATTTGTAACGTTAATAAAAACAAAAAAAAAGATATTTTGGTGGATAGAACGTTTCCAAACGAATATAAAGAAATAAAGCTTTAGTATTGTAAGGCTTCTATAGAAAATATTACTATTTGAAATTTATTTAAAAAGAAAAAAAATACAGCACATTCTAAAAATAAATACGAGAAATGAACACAATGACAAATCTTTGATACCGCACTTAAAATCGATATTACACAGCTAAATGAATAAGAATGGATTATTTTGTATACTATATACATATTTGTATGTGGTATAGTATGTATGGCATTGTAAACTAAATACATGCATACATATATGTAACTGTGAAACCTCTGCACCAATCAGATATAAGTATGCGTAAATAAATACTAATTTGTTGTTTATTAAAATAAAACAATAGAAATATAAAAGTAATACCAAAAAATTACTAATAAAATATTAATTCAATAAAATACACAAATATACTTACAAACAAAACATACATTAGTTGGTTTATACTATATATTTTTAGTTGGGTGTGGTAATTAAATTTCTGATAATCTTAATATATAGAAAAGAGCTTAGTGATATGTGAGTGACTGTCTGGCAGATTATCGCCCAGGCCTTGAAATTTTGAGTGTTGGTTGTTGTTGGTGTTTAGGCGTAAGATAAGGCTTGGTGGTTTGGATATTCGAGCTAGAAGGGTACGGAAAGTACTAAAATGTACTACAAATGTTACACTTTGTATTAGGCAAAGAGGACTAGCTAGAATTCTGAAAATTGGAATGTGGGTCACTGATGGAAAGTTAGAAATATGTACAATAGGTTTTTTTTGGAAATTCGACCTATAAGTGTACGAAAAGTACTAAACTTTACTAAATTTAATTCTAATTGAAATGGAATCTTGAAATTTTATATGGAATACAAGGGGTGTTGATTTGTACTTATGTATATGAAAATTACTAAATGATACTCAATTTGGTAAATATGGGTACGAAAAATTTACCACAATTTGGATTTTGGGTGAACGGATAGAGCTCAAACCCTGAAATATGGAATAAGGATTACTGTTGAGGATTGACCTATAGAGACAGCATTGGAAATTCGTGATTATGTGTACGAAAAGTACTAAACGGCACTAGATTTGGATTACAATTTGGATTTGGGTGAACGAGGAGAGAGCTGGAAACCTAAAATTTGGAATAATGGTCGATTTTGGAGTGTAGAATTGAGATATGGAAATATAGTACATAAGTGTACTAAATGATACAATATTTGGTAGAACTTGCTTATGTGTGAACGGATATAGATGGACTAAAGAAGAGCGTAGGATTGGGGTAGTTTAAAAAAATCGTACTTATGGAAACAAACAGAACTAAATGGTACCAAATATTTTTGTGTGAACGGATAGGGTTGTGGAACCCTGAAATTTGGGATTAAAATTACTGTTGGGTTAGCCTAGGAAATTCGTAAGTATGGGTGCATGGTACAATTCGGACCTATGAACGAATAGGGCTGGGATCATAAAGTTCACTGTTGGAGTGTAGAATTGAGAAAGATTTGGAAAATTGTACTTACGTCTGCGAAAAGTTATAAATGGTACATATTTTAGTACAAATTAAATATTGGTGAACGAATAGAGCTGGAATCCTGTGGACTTAAGATTATTATTGGAGCGCATGACTGAGGTAGTTTTGGAAATTCGTACTTATGGGTACGAAAAATACTAAATTTGGTACAATTTGGACTTTGGAATCTTGAATGTTGGAACTAAGATTAATGTCGGAGTGTAGGATTGAGACAGTTTTGGAATATGGGCACGTAAAGTCCAGAATGGTACCAAATCTGGCACAATTTGGATTTTGGTGAACAGATAGAGGTGAAATTTTTAAATTTGAACTTACGATTATATATCCTACCTTGTATTATTGTGCAGGAACAATTCTAGTGTCTTTTACACTTGACATTTTCAATTTAAAAATTAAATAATTTTTCTCAATTTTTAAATTATATTTTGTAGATATATTTTGAAAATTAACCAAATATGTTTATTTTAAAGTCGAATTACAATAGATGCGCTATTGCAACTATAAAACAATGGTCGTTATATTTGAAACTTGAAAATAAATTACTTGTGGTAAGGGACCAACCAAAATTATATAGAAATTAGGATTACTATTACAAAAATCCTCTCCCCCAAATCTGTTCTCTTAACAGAAATCCCGTAATGCTGTCATAACATCAATAAATTATCGTAATGCCAGTAAAACAGCCAAATCGGAAAAGACCCCACAACAACTACCAACAACTGTGGGTGGTGGTTCAAGTGCGACCTACGTGGAGGATATGTATCGTGCCTGGCAACGTGATCCAACGTGTGTTCATACGGTATAGTATTATATTTTTCTTTTTTCTGTTTTTTTTTTCTATATTTTTCTTCTGGTTTCTTTTAGTCATGGGATTCGTATTTCCGTTCAGGTGTTTACGAACCCGTACCCGCCGAATCACATCCTCAACGTAATACCATGACAATATCCCAATTTTGTAGCGGTGGTGGTTCGCTACAAAAAGCAATAGACGATCATATTTTGGTTCATGACATTATTCGTAGCTATCAAACTCGTGGCTTTTTGGCAGCAAATTTAGACCCGTTGGGTATTATAACGCATAATAAGACCCTAACCAAATGTGGAATGCAATTGAATGCCAATGAAAATGTTTTCATTAAGGCTGATTTTTTTAAAGGTAAATTGGATAAAGAGAGATGATTGAAAAATGTAGAGGATCTTCTTTCCATTGAGAAACTTCTAGTGAAGTCCAAGGACGTATAGAAGGTATTACATCTATAGAAGGCCTATACTATCGATGGAAGATCTTCAGGGGATTTTCCTCTATAAATCAAAGGAAGATTACCTTCTGAATAAGGAAAACATATATGTTATTACTACAGAACATGCTCTGTAGTTGGGTATTTTATATGTAGAAGACATTTTTAGGTCTCCTATATACATTCTATAGATTTTTTATGGATGAAAGGCCGAAAGACCAATCTATGGAAGACCCATAAAAGGTATTTTATTTTCTATCTCTAGATAGCCGCCTATAGGAGGTCGTTTAATTCTTGGTCTACAATATTTTCCCATTTCAAATTTTTTACTCACATTTCCAACCAGAAAATTGTATAATTAATCTATACATAAATGCCCTGCATTCTTTCCCCTACAAAAAGGTGCATTCCAATTTTCGGTATTTTAAGAATTTTGAACATGTTTGAGAAAGAATGTAACAAAATATACTTGGAAAAACAAGATTGTCGGTTAAGGGCCCATTGTTTGTCATAACCACACTTACCAACAACATGCTATACTAGGGCACAAAATCTACCTGGAAAAATATGAACACATGTTTCGATCTGGCAACTCCTTCATATAGAAACATGTCTTTTTTGAAAACCTGTTGCCAGATCGAAACAAAATTTAGCATGTGTTCATAGCAGAGATGGAAGTTTCCAAAAAACTTAACTTTTTTCTGTTTATACCGCGCTTTTTGTGCTAGGCTAAGAACATTCCGAATCTCGTATAAGGTTTGTTCCAAGTGGGATTGGAAAGCTTCATTGGGGATAAATCTCAATATCCCAATGGTATAGGGTATATAAATTCCGCGCGGTCGAACATTAAAAGTTCTTTTCCCTTATTATTTTATAGAAAACCGAAATCTCGACCAGACCTTTAAATTAGCCGGAGCTAGTACATTTATAGGTGGCGATGAACAGGAATTGAGTTTTCGGTAAGTACTCATTCAACAAAAAAGTGACACTAAGAAATTCAAGCATTCCCCATATATTAACCCTTTACTGCAGTGAAATTATCAAACGTTTAGAAAATATATATTGTGATACGATGGGTATTGAATATATGTATATATTTTGTCCCAAGAAACGTAATTGGATACGAGAACGTATTGAGAAACCCGGGCAGCTACAAATGTCTGCGGAAAAGAAGAAATTGATATTATCACGTCTTATCAGGGCCACAGCGTAAGTGATTCGAGAGAGTTATAATTTAAACATTGTAAGAATTTTTAAATATTATTTTCAGTTTTGAAAATTTCTTAGCCAAAAAATGGTCATCGGAAAAACGTTTCGGCTTGGAAGGTTGTGAAGTTTTAATTCCATGTCTAAAGGAAGTTATTGATCGCTCATCGGCATTGGGTGTGGAATCGTTTATTATAGGTTTAGCACATCGTGGCCGCCTGAATACTTTGGCGAATATTTGTCGTAAACCGTTGCATCAAATTTTTGCACAATTTCGTGTACTGGAGGCGGAGGATTCGGTAAGTGATGGTAGGACCTAAAAAATGTTTAATTTAAATGTAAAATGTTGTGTATATATAATTTCCTACCGATTTTAATAGAAATTAATTGTTTTAATTCATGCATCTGTTATTCAGCAAAGTCGTCGGTTAGATAGAATTTTAAAAAAATTTCTCCTTCAATAAATCTGAATTAAATTCTTTAATTTTTTATAGGGTTCCGGTGATGTCAAATATCACTTGGGTACTTACGTGGAACGTTTAAATCGTGTTACGAATAAAAATGTACGCATCGCCTTAGTGGCAAACCCCTCTCATTTGGAAGCTGTCAATCCGATTGTGATGGGTAAAACCCGTGCCGAACAATTTTACAAAGGCGACTCCGAGGGCCGTAAAGTAATGTCCATTTTAATACACGGTGATGCCGCATTTTGTGGCCAAGGAGTGGTATATGAAAGTATACATTTATCCGACTTACCATCGTATACAAATCATGGAACAATTCATATTGTGATTAATAATCAAGTTGGCTTTACAACCGATCCACGTTTTCATCGTTCATCCCCATTTTGTACAGATGTGGCTAGAGTGGTAAATGCTCCCATTTTACATGTGAATGCTGATGATCCGGAAGCGGCAGTTTTTCTTAGTGGCTTAGCATCGGAATGGCGTGCAACATGGCGTAATGATATTGTTTTAGATTTAGTCGGATACCGGCGGAATGGTCACAATGAAGCCGATGAACCTATGTTCACCCAACCGTTAATGTATCAAAAGATACGAAAACATAAACCGGTTCTTGAGCTGTATTCGGAAAAATTGATAAAGGAAAAAATCATATCGAGCGAGGAGTTGAAAGCACTTGTTAAGGAATATGATAATATTTTGGAAGAGGGATTTAAAGAAGCCGACAAAGAGCAACGTATTAGTGTAAGTCCTTGAAGGGAGGGGAGACATTTTTGGGAAACAAATTTTGAAAAGTTTAAAATGTTTCTTTGTAGTATAAAGATTGGATTGATTCTCCCTGGTCCGGATTCTTTGATGGCAAGGATCGTATGCAAATGCCTTCAACCGGGGTCAAGGAAGAAGTTCTTCTACATATTGCCCAGAAATTCTCTTCACCACCACCCGTGGAAGCCCAGTTTGTTATACACAAGTGAGTCTTAAAATAGATTACAGCTGAAAACACAAAGTTCTGGGATATCAAATTATCAGCTTGATGTAAAATATTTGTGTATTCTCTAATTACAGAGGTATAGAACGTATCCTGCAGGGGCGACAGCAAATGCTAAAAGATCGTTTGGCCGATTGGGCATTGGGTGAAGCATTGGCCTATGGTACCCTACTCAAGGAGGGTGTTCACGTTCGGCTATCAGGTGAAGACGTTGAACGTGGCACATTTTCACATCGTCACCATGTTTTATGGCATCAAAACATTGACAAACTGAATTACAATGTTTTGGCAAATCTCTATCCCGATCAGGCCACCTATAGCGTATCGAATAGCAGTCTCAGCGAATATGCTGTATTGGGATTTGAACATGGCTATTCGATGAGTAATCCAAATGCACTAGTTATGTGGGAAGCACAATTTGGTGATTTCAGTAATACCGGTCAAGCGATATTCGATCAATTTATATCTTGCGGCGAAATGAAATGGGTACGACAATCAGGTTTGGTTATCCTCCTGCCACACGGTATGGAAGGCATGGGCCCAGAACATTCATCGTGTCGTCTTGAACGTTTCCTACAAATGTGTCATGATGATCCGGATACTTTGCCGCCATGCGATTGTGAAGATGTTGCTTTACATCAACTGAATGCGACAAATTGGATTGTGGCCAATTGTACAACACCGGCAAATTTATTTCATATCTTGAGGCGACAAATTGCACTGCCATTTCGTAAGCCGCTGATCTTGTGTACACCCAAATCGGGATTAAGACATCCCTTGGCAAAAAGTCCTTTCTGTGATATGGCAGAATGTACAGAATTTAAACGTATTATAACGGATGATGGTCCAGCTGCGGAAAATCCAGATTGTGTTAAAAAATTGGTATTTTGTTCGGGTAGAGTTTATTTTGATCTATTTAAGGCCAGATCGGATAAGAAGGCAGAAAAGGAAATCTGTTTGATACGTGTGGAACAGGTAAGGAAATATAGTATTCTATTAGAAATACCTAATTGTTATTCGTTCCCCCTTTTTGAATAGATTTGTCCCTTCCCCTTTGACTTGGTTAGAGAGGAAATTCTGAAATATAAAAATGCTGACATTTTGTGGGCCCAAGAAGAGCACAAAAATCAAGGTGCCTGGACATATGTCCAATCACGTTTCCAAACCGCTTTAGCTGAGGATGAAGAGTGAGTAGAAACATTGTTTTTTATAAAAAAGAGTAACAATATTTTTTTAACTTCTATTAGAAACACACTATAGCAAATGTCTAACAAGTTGATGACGTCAAAAATAAGTATTAATTTTTCATTCACATATTCTCTGAACACTAATGCATATTTGCCAACAAAGAACGACAAATACGCGTTGCTCCGATTCGCCTGATTTATGTTTAAAATATTTTTTTTAAATTGCTGGTCTCATTTGACAGCTAAAATGCGGTCAGCCTGCATAAATGGGTTATAGCGACCGAATACATACGTACATAATTTGTATGCCCCAGAACACGCAGTGGCACAGTGTGTTATATCTTGATGCATTTTTTGAAACATGGGCAAGGAATGAATTTACATCCATACATTTAGGCATATAATTAGAATCTTTCACCGCCGTCCACTTGGAATATTTTTTTAAAAGGTTACTCGATTTTTCTTGCTGTTTTTTCCATGATTAAAAGTCGACTTATACTTTTCATATCAAAACTTTTTATCCTCCACCATGGAGTAGAGGGTGTGTGGTATAGGATATATGCATGGGTTCGTATTGTGATATAGCCACATAGAACTGTATCGCCTGATTTTCGCATTTCGAAGGTTTTGAGGCGCAGTTTTTGCAATTTGACTCTCCAAATTCCTAGATGGTAAAAATAGCTTATTAACTAGCATATTACCGTTACTTCGTTAGCGAATGTGAGAATTAGTAACCAATATCGACCATATTTAAAAATTTTGTAGCATTTATCACTTATGTTCTCTTATAGTACGTATTTCCAAAACTACCTCCATATCTATACACTACACACCAATTCTGACCGTAATAGAAATCTAGCTCTATACTAAATTTGGTATAATTTATTACTCTTTGTGCTCTTGTAATAGGTTCACCCAAAACCCAAATTTAGTAGCAGTAAGTACACATTAATATAAATTCCCGTAAGTACCTACCTTAACAATTATAAATACTTAACAATTATAAATACGAATTTCCAAAACACGCCAATCTTAGTTTCAAATCTCAAGATTCCCACTCTATCGGTTCACCTTAATCCAAATGATATCAAATTTAGTACCATTTAGTACATATACGTACAAATTTCCATTACTACATACATAAAGCAATCCGATGGAAATCTTATTACCCAATTTCAGGATTCCAGCTCATCGGGTCACGATAAATCAAAATTGTACCATATTTAATGTCACATTGGTAGACATTTCCAAAACTTCCTACATACCAAAATCCAACACCCCTACAGTGATCCTAACTCCAAATGTCAAGATTCCAACTTAGTTCACCTAAATCCAAATTTGGTACCATTTAGTACACATTAGTACGAATTTCCAAAATGTTTTTATAGCCCAATCCCACAATTCATTTAGTACACATTAATACGAATTTCCAAAACTTTATACATAACCCAATCCTACACCCCAACAATGATTCTAACTCTAAATTTCAGGATCCCAGCTCTATCAGTTCCCCCAAAATCCAAATTGTACCAAATTTAGTAACATTTAGTACTCATAAGTACGAATTCACAAAACTATCTACATACTTTAATTCTACACTCCAATAGTAACCCTTAATTTCAGGATCCCAGCTCTATCAGTTCTCCCAAAATCCAAATTGTACCAAATTTAGTAACATTTAGTATTCATAAGTACGAATTCACAAAACTATCTACATACTTCAATTCTACACTCCAATACACTCAATTTTTTACTATTCCAAATCTAAATCCAAATTTTATCTAATTTAGTACGAATTAGTACCCATAAGTAAAATGTCCACAACTACATACATACCCGCAATAATCTTATTTCTAAATTTTAGTGTTTCAGCTCTATCGGTTAACCTAAATCCTAATTGTCATTGCCATTTAGTATACATTAGTATATATTTCCAAAACTTCCTTAGTACCCCGATCCTATACGTCAACAGTAATCATAACTCCAAATTTGAGGATTACACCTCTATTGGTTCACCCAAAAATTAAAATTATACCAAATTAAGTACACATAAGTACGAATTATCCAAACTACCAACATAACTCAATTTTACAATGCAGTAGTAATTTCATTTCCAAATTTCAGTGTTCCAACAAAATTGTACCGAATATAGTACCATTGTCCCATTTCCAAAACTACCTACATATCCCAATCCTACACATCGACGGTAATGTTAATTTTAAATTTCAGGAGTCCATCTCCATCTGTTTCTCGAAATTCAAATTGTACCAAATTTAGTACTGTTTAGTAATTTTCGTATACATGTGTACACATTTTTTAAACCACCATCTTATATCGACCCTGCCGCTCAACCTGAATTCCCACTTCAAATTCCAAGTTTTTAGCTCTATCCATCCCTTTGCTACGATATAGTACCAAATTTAGTACATTTTAGTACTTTTCGGAAGCATACAGTTCGAATATCCAAAAACTTCTTTGTTACATGTATTTTACACTCCATCAGCGACCCTTATTTCAAATTTAAGAGCTCTGGCTCTACCGGTTTTGTCAAATACAAATGATACTACATTCAGTACTTTTCGTACCGTTCTATATATAGGTTAACCCAAAATCAAAATTGTACCGAATATTGTACCATTATACCATTTCCAAAACTACCTACATACCCCAATTCTACACATCGACGGTAATGTTAATTTTAAATTTCAGGAGTCCAGCTCCATCCGTTTTTCCAAATTCAAATAGTACCAAATTTAGTACTTTTTAGTAATTTTCGTATACATGTGTACACATTTTTAAAACCACCATCTTATATCGTCCCTGCCGCTGAACCTGAATTCGCACTCCAAATTCCAAGTTTTTAGCTCTATCCATTCCTATGCTACGATATAGTACTAAATTTGGTACATTTTAGTACTTTTCGGAAGCATATAGTACGAATATCCAAAAATTCCTTTGTTACATGTATTTTACACTCCATCAGCGACCCTTATTTTAAATTTAAGAGCTCTGGCTCTACCGGTTTTGTCAAATACAAATGATACTACATTCAGTACTTTTCGTACCGTTCTATATATCGGTTAACCCAAAATCAAAATTGTACCGAATATAGTACTATTTCCAAAACTACCTACATATCCCAATCCTACACATCGACGGTAATGTTTATTTTAAATTTCAGGAGTCCAGCTCCATCCTTTTCTCCAAATTCAAATGGTACCAAATTTAGTACTGTTTAGTATACATGAGTAGACGTTTTTAAAACCACCTTCTTATATCGACCCTGCCGCTCAACCTGAATTCGCATTCCAAATTCCATGTTTTTAGCATTACATTTCGGATGCATACAGTTCGAATATCCAAAAACTCCTTTGTTTCATGTATTTTACACTCCATCAGCCACCCATCAATCAAATTTAATCCATCAAATTTAAGAGCTCTGGCTCTACCGTTTTGTCAAATACAAATGATACCACATTCAGCACTTTTCGTATCGTTCTAACACGAATTTCCAAAAACCCAGCCTCACCCAAAATTTCAAGAATCTAGCTTCAGCCGTTTCGTCTTGACGTTGATAAATCGTTAAGGTAGTCAATCACTTAACTCTTTTATTAGTATAGATAGATATAGGACTTTTTTTGTTATAACCCCCATATCAAAATTACAAACATTTTAAATATTTAGAATACGATACGGGTATGTTCTGGAACTCACGGTGTGTTCTTTTCACTTCACACATACACTTCACCTCAGAAGCTACCTCCTGTTCTGCTTCTCACGTGAATTGAAATTTTGAACTGCGACAAAAATAAACGTCGAAATGGTACTTTGCAGAAATAGTGTTGCCATACAATATAACTGTATTCGTTTTTAACATTGTTTCTGTATTTTTTAGTAATTTCGTTAATTCTAACGACAATTTTATTATACGGGCATGTTCTGGCATTCACTTCAACGGCAGAAGTGTATCGAACACACGCCGAGGTGTTCTGTAACACACTTTACACCCATTTCAGGTGTATTCTTTACACTTACATTTCCATAGTGAGAGTCGGGTGTATTCCTGTTTTTTCATATAAAAGAACATCTTTTTTGGAATAAAAAACGCACATGATGATAGATTGATATGTTATTATTGCGTATAATTTGATTAAAATCACAAAATGAACATGAAACACCATTAAAAACAAATTTTAAATAGATACTTGCATTTTCTTCAACTGAATTTCTTGCTTGACACAAACAGCTGATTTGATGTAAGGCCGAAAAAGATAGGGTTACCAAATGTTCCCCCTAAATCAATCAACAATTTAATGATATTACAGAGGTTTCATACATATATTTTATGTTGCGAATAATAAAATATTAAAAAATAATAATAAAATTGTCGTTAGAATTAACGAAATTACTAAAAAATTACAGAAGCAATGCTAAAAACGAATACAGTTTATATTGTATGGCAACAATATTTCTGCAAAGTACCATGTCGACGTTTATTTTTGTCGCAGTTCAAAATTTCAATTCACGTGAGAAGCAGAACAGGAGGTAGCTTCTGAGGTGAAGTGTATGTGTAATGTGAAAAGAACACACCGTGAGTTCCAGAACATACCCGATTATTTTTTAATATTTTATTATTTGCAACACAAAATATATGTATGAAAAACTCTGTAATATCATTAATTTGTTGATTGATTTAAGGGGAACATTTGGTAACCCTATCTTCTTCGGCCTTACTTCAAATCAGCTGTTTGTGTCAAGCAAGAAATTCAGTTGAAGAAAATTCAAGACAAACCTTAGTATCTATTTAGAATTTGTTTTAATGGCGTTTCATGTCCTTTTTGCGATTTTAAACAAATTATACGCAATAATAACATATCAATCTATCATCATGTACGTTTTTTATTTCAAAAAAGATTTTCTTTTATATGAAAAAACATGAATACACCCGACTCTCACTATGGAAATGTAAGTGTAAAGAATACACCTCAAATGGGTGTAAA